ATATATATATATAAATAAAAGCATAATTATAAGGCTACGAAAACCAAACGAATTTTATTTTATAGCGATTGTACACTTATATAAACATATTAATGGGTAGAATATTCAGATTCAGATTTGACAATAAACCATGCCAAATATTACACACTGGCCCTTTAAGATCTGTGTAATGACTGTTGTATGTTATCTATGTTTACTGTGTATTGCTGCTCTGCATGTGATGCTTCGCTGTGTGTTGTTGCTTCATGTTGCTTGCAGGACTATTTGTGTTAAAATGCTATTTGTTTCTGTTGTTGCTGTTGCATTGTACTGAGGTTCTGCTGTTTCTTGTTGCTTTGTATGGCCTTTTTTTCTATTGTTGTCTTTATGGTGTCCTGCTGTCTTTGTTCTGTGAGTTTTACCATTTAATAGGTTTTAAAACATCTTACCAAAGGACTGCAGTTGAGAAGTAGCCAGCTGGCTAACACTGGTACCTTTACATAAATGATTATTGTGTGTGCTGTCCTTAATAAAATAAAATAAATGAAATTAAAATTGTGGACACCTCCCCTTCAGGCCACCACTTCTTAAACTGGATTTCCAGACAGCAGTTTCCTCAAAAATTTAAATTGTGATCATGTCAGATCATCCATCATCATGTTCTTCTGTTGTTGTGACACACAGACAGGCTGGCTTTAACAACTAACAGGAGGTAACAGGTGTGACTCACGATGCCGTGGAGCTCTGCCACTCGGCTGCAGAGGTCCGGTCTCTGCTTCTCCAACGCCAAGTAGAAAGGATTCTTCAGGATGTTCTCATCATACACAGCCATAAGGAGCTGGAGGTCTAGATCCTGCAGAGGGTAACAGAAGGAACTGATTAAACAAAGATTCAAAAGGTGCAAAGAGGCCGTAGAACCTCCTTCAATGATAGCTGATAGTCTGAACCACATCAGATTACATTTTCAAACCAGTTTTTTGTTTATTATTTGATCACACCTGTATGTCATTATGGTGACATTTGAATAAACTGCTGATTTTTTTGCTAATTTTTGAAGTTTTTGAAATTCAGATGGATGCTTTGATGAAAGAAAGAAAATGAAACATGACTAAAGCTGAAAACACATCGGCTCCACCGTGTCATGGCGCGTCATGTGACACAAATCAAGCACACACTGGACGTGTCACGCTGCAGCTCGTCCACAGACGACCTGGCAAAGTTATTACTACTTTTACTGAGAGATCTGTTTTTTTCTCCCCCTCTGCATTAGCTGAAAATCATGTGTGCACAGCTCATAACTAAACTTGATTCCTCACCTGAGGAGCAGATCTGCGACTCGCCAGGCAATATCATTTTGGCCATGGTCTTTACGACTAGACTGTTGGTCATTTAGCTCGGGATATTTCTCAACCTCAACAGCTAGTCTCTCCTCATCCATTCTCCGTCACACATGAGACGCAGCAACAGCTACAGAGCTCTCTTTATAGATCAGTGGTGAGGAGAGGAGTCGAGCTGCCACAGGAGCAGAGAATAAGAGCTGCTACGGGAGCCAGTATCTATAAGCAGAGGTGCAAAAGCTGGAAGTGACGTGGACAGTGGCGTGAAGTGACTGAGGGTGGTGCATCCAGGAGAGCCAATGCGTGTCTAGCCACCACCGGTGTGGGGTTGTACATTTATTGACACGTGGCGTTTGCTGCCAGTGTGTTTTGGCCTTAAAAGGTCTACAGCGGCTCTGTGAGGCTGTACTTTTGACCTGACGATGGCAATACAACCAAAAGTTAGTCACCTGAGTTATTACAACTCATCCTGAGCGGATCATGAATGTCTGATCCAAATCTCATGACAATCCGTCCAATAACTGTTGAGACATTTCTCTCAAAACCACAAATATCAGCCTCGAGGTGGTGAGAAAAACATTCATCCTCTGGGAACCAGGAATGTCTTAAGTAAATATCAGACCACTGTTGCCATGCCCAGAGCAGCATCATCAATTTTTCTATCTGTGAATAGATATTAATAAATGAAATGTGACAGTGACTCCTGAGTTTCTGATCAAAATCATGTGGAAATACTAAACATTTGTCAAGTTACAGATGATTAATGAAAACAAAGCTCCAAAAGAGATCTCCTGATTCCTTCGTGTCTCCAAATTTATCTCCAAAGACAGAGCCCAAAGTCATGCTGAATAGTTATATTTAACAATATTAACCACTTTATTTGAATCATCAGCTGAGTTTGAGGACACCAGGCAAAAAATCCCTGTCAGACTGTTTCCCAAAGTTGGTATGAGGTTGTTTTTCCTCTGTTTTCTTCCAATTTATTTGCAGTTAAATTCTTTCGGAGCTGCAGTTCCTGTCACTGCCAGTAGGGGATCGATAGTGCAGCAAGAATGACAGTCCCTCACTGGCTTCCCATTTGGCAACACCTGAAAGATTTGTGAGAGAGGTACCGCCTTCCTTCAGGAGTGCTTCTGAGAGTAGGTTACATGAAAATGGCCCCAGGGTGTGAATCATAGTGTGATCTCTGTTACTGAGGCAGGACCTGTGTGATCTGTCAGCTGTCTCTGGCCTCAGGCCTCTTCTACTGTGGAGTTGCACCAGAGACGAGGTCATGATGTTAGCTAAATCAAAAGGGTTTATTATCTGTATGTACGGTGGCCATGTTAGGACATCTCAGACGCAGCTTTTCAGGTTCAACTCCATATTGTCAGCTACACCCTGAGATAAACGTTGGCATTATGCTAATGCTACATCTCCAGCAAGACCAAAAATCATGCTCTTAAGTATTTAAAACGTGACTGAATAATTTTGGTGAAATTAAACTAATCATTCATTTTGACAGGAGGTCTGTTCACCATGATATCCTGTGAGAATTTTGTCAAGCTGCTCTTGTATGGACAGACGATTACATCACTCAACAATGTTTATCAAACATGGCAATGGACGGAAAGTTAAAGGTCCAGCTGAAGCTTCTCCCGGTCAGAATTCCTTCAGTGTTCATTGTTCAGGAGGTTTTTTACCAAAGACTGAATTATCCACAGAGGTCTCTTCCTCTCAAAAGACCAGGTGATTTAAACCGGTTAAAACACAGAATAAAGCAGTTTCACACTGGAAAATCTGTGGTTTTTTTGTTTTTTTTTTGGTTTGTCCCTTCAGGGCTTCTGTAGAAACAACAAAAACGCAACAATTCTTATTTTCAGATAATTATACGCTAAAGAAAACATACTTATTATATTACATTTCTGACAATATAACCCCCTACTGTAAATCCAACACACTGGACCCTTAGGAATACCCACAAAACCCCTTTTGGTCATTGTTGGACCAGATACTGGTGTACAGGTGGTGATCAGTGCCAAACAAATGTGATAAAACATAACCTAAACATCTATTTTGATTGCTTGATAATACAGAAGAAGAGTATTTTCTTAAAATGTTATTTTCACGGTGCTTTAAAAATCCCAAATACAAAAGGACATTCAGACCTGAAATGAAACTCTGTTGAATTAATGTGTTGGTGCCTCTTATTTCTTTAAAGCTGCTTACAAATTTATTTTAAATTTATTAACACATCACTTTCAAATGATAATGAACTGGGCATTACATATGAATTTCCTGATATGTGCTGGCAGTCACATACTGGGTCAGCGATAAGGGTCATTCCATACTCCATCTTTGCCAATATATCCTCCTCACTGGACCTTAAAGGGATACCTAAAGTTAATAAAATACATGCTGTGGGGAACACGAGCATTTGAAGAAACTTTCATGACCATCCAACAGTTGTTGAGATATTTCACTCTGAACCACAAATGTCACCTCATGGTGGCGCCACAGGAAAAGTCAGAGGATCATCAAAGTTGGTAGGATTCATCCTCTGAGGAACATGAATGTCTGAACCGAACTGCATGGCAATCCATCGAATAGGTGTTGAGATATTTTAGTCAGGTCTTGCTGCTAGCATGATTAAAAAACTAAGAACACACATTTTATCACTTCACCCGACCACAAACCAGCAAACCTAATTCCAGATGCACCAAAATCAATTAAAAAACCCTTAATTTATCCATCCAGGAGCAATTATGCAACTGAGTCTGTAAACAACACGTCAAATATAAATCCTGCACAAACAAATAAGGATAAACACAAAGAAACAGTGGCTACAAACATGAACAGCATAACAACAACTGTTTAAAAACAATAATAATAGCGTGACAATAATTTATTTTTGCAGTAACTGTTCAAAAGTCCTCTGAATAAACCACAATCTCCTCAGTCTGTGTCTCTGAGGGGCATCCATTAAAAGATCTGATCTCTGATCTGTGAGCCTAAACAGATCGATCTATTCCAGCCGTCTGCTCCACTTTCCCTTCACTCATCATGTTCAGGAGAAATCCTAAACCATAATACCCATCAACAACCCTCCACAAGCTTCAAACACTTCATCTGACAGTTCATCAACTCACCTCGTCCCTCTGCTCTGAGACCAGCTTCATCTTCCCTCAGCTCCAGTACATACTAACTGGAAACCAGTCCAACAGAGTGGACAAAGACTCTCCACCGAGTGGCCTCATGTCAGGCTGCTCAGCTGAGATGAAACTGAGGAATGAGCCCTCGTGACCTTACAAGCTTGAAGCTAACAGCGTATTCAGCGGTGCAGAGGAATGTCCCTCCCTTTCAGCCCAACGCACCGTAACCTTGCACACTGCAGACACCAACACTCTGCTGACGTCTTAGCCGGGAGCTTAAAATGTGAGTGAACAGGAGAACTGCTTCAGCAACAACCAACAGTAAGCAGATTAAAGGTCAAATATCCCAACAATGTTTCCTGATCGCAGCGGGGCCGAGACCATCAATAGTTTGATTTTTAGGTCATTAGAATTTACAAATCCAGACGACGCTTCAGGGTGTCCTGGTGAAAAGATGCTGACCATGTAATTGAGATGTCTGGGTTTTGACCTTTGTTACATAAATCAAGAAAAGTGTGGAGGCTTTCCAGACAGGTCAGTGATGAAGCAACAGAGAACATGACAGAACTTAAAGTGGAAACAGACTTTTTTTTTTTTTTTTTTTAGATTTTTTCATTATGAAGTAAATGTTAATCTCACAATGTAATGACAACAGACTAATGACACCATCAGCGTTTAGACTGGCTCCCTATAAGTCTCTCTTTCACTACGCAACAGACCCTTCGCCAAGTCCCGCTCCTGGCTGTAGACCAGCCAATCATAACACAGGATGGGGCCGGCACAGGCCAGGGTCCAACAACAACACAGCTGTGCTCCATTGACTCTGATGCAGTCGTTTCAGATTTCCTTCATTTTCAGGCTGGTTTTGTGGATTTGGAGCTAAATGTTGTGCCTGGGGCACGTCGTGTATTAATGACAGGGCTGCAACTAACAATTATTTTCACTGTCGACTAATCTGACGATTATTTCTTCGATTAGTCGACTACTCATTTTATCGAAAAATGTGTTAAAATGTTGAAAAATGTCGGTCTGTCTCTCCCAAACCCCAAAATTACGTCATCTAATGTCTTGTTTCGTACTCACACCAATCACCATCATGGGAGAGTGTGTAAAGCTGCCAATATTTGAACGTAAGAAGCTGCAATAAGAGTATTTTGGGGGACTTTTATAGTACTTTTCTATGAAAAATGACTCAAACCTATTAGTCGACTACTAAAATAGTCACCGATTGGAGAGGTTGGTAAAAGATATACTTTTCTTCCCTGTTCCAAAACCAAAATCATACCCTGTAAAGTGTAGGGTTAGCTAGCTAGCTACTGAAGATATAGCCTACTTAATGTATACACATGCTGCTTTTGCTTTTTAATGATTATAACAGTGAAACAAAGAGTGACCCTGCTGTACAGGAACCAGTTAAGGGAAGCAGGGAAACTTTGCTCATATTTAACCAGCTCTGTGTCATCACAGATGTACGTTGTTTGACGTCTCCCGGAGATCCCTGCCCATTCACAGGTGTCCAGAGGCTCATGGGGCGAAGCCAAACACCGTTCATCTGCACACACTGCGATGCCACACAGCTGGTTCAATATCAGCAAAGTTTCCTTTTATATTCACTCCCCCAGTCCCAAATGGATCCCTTACAGACTCCTTGACTCAAGCCGTAAGCCCTTACAGACCTAGGACCAATTCCATTGGAAGTGGTGTCCCAATTCTCCGTCAGGTTAGCTCTTAACCTGATGGAGAATTGGAACACCACTCTTCCTCACGTGAAAGCGCAAAACCAAGGGGAAGGGCCAAGTCAAGGGCTAAGGGGAAGAAATGGAATTTGTCCTAGGTCTGTGAGGGCTTAGGGCTTGAGTCAACGAGTCTGTAAGGGATCCAACTGGGGTTGGGGGACTGTCTTCTGTGGCGATCAGCAGTGATGTGGTGGTTCACTTTTACACTGTGATCTGTAGCCTATAGTTCGGCTTTAGCTTCTAACTATCTTTGTCTTTTTAACCTGTTGTTGCTGCTGAGTCAGTTTGACATCCTGGATATATCCTTCAAACACACGCTGTTGACCCCTCTGTCAGCTTCTCTCTGCTAACTAACGCTAACAGCCAGAAAACAATTAGAAACACGTTAGTCAAGACCAGCCAGAAACAAACACCCATGATTCACTGTCTGTTGGATAATCTACATAAAAAAACACATTTTCTTGCAGTGGCCTTTATGAAAGGTGCAGTGGTGAAACAAACAGATGGTTGAATATTTCCAAGATGCCACCAGGTAAAGGTTGGTGAACTGTTGCTTGGCTCTGAGGAACATGGAAGCGATCCAGTCGTCTTTACTGCAGCACCACCAACAATAATAAAAACCACTTGCTGGGGGATTTCCACTTTTATATGCTCGTCATGTGCACAAATACAGGAACTAAATGGCATGAAAAGCCTGGCTGCTACTCTTCACTGTAACATGTTTCATGCGCGGTGAAATAGAGATGAGGCAGGAGGTGATCAGATAATCTGGAGGTAATTAATCCAATAATTCAACAATAAACAACCATAAATCAGTGAAGTCTGCTGAAGTGTGAACCCCAGGCGGACTCTCTGGAAGTCTGCAGAGAGTCTGCTTGAGGAGGACGGGATGAATTGAGGATTTGGACAGCCCTGCTGATAACCATTTGCAATTCATCTCACTTGTTACTTTTCCTCATCGGACAGCCAATTTAAATTTGAAGTTGGAGTTACAGGAGTATTTCACTGCTGGAAAGATGGCCTTTTAGTAAAACAGGGTCCATGTTGAAAAATACCAAAGTGTGCCTTTAATGAACGGCAGACTGCTGCCAGGGAGGACATGAGCATAAAAATCCTGATACTAAGATCAAAGCTGTGTTTGATTTTTAAAACATGTTTCAGCATGTTGAGCACTGCTGTAACCACAGACCGCAGATCAATCAAGTTAGAAAGACGTAGTAGAAAATAACCAGTCAGGTGAAGACAGACAGTAATAATCAATAATACAGTGAACAGATGGCGGGGAGGAGAAAGTGAAGCGGGTGAAATGGAAGAAGACATCACTGCTGCCTTCTGGTTTTTCTGGATCAATAAAAGTCTTTCAGCAGCTGCAGCAGAGAGGTTTCACAGCCTGAAGGTGACCATCACATCACGCCCCTCTCCTCAGGGCTGCACACATGATGAAGCCTCAACATACACTGACCTACATTACTGATTATTTGTCATTTAATAATCCTTCACAACCTCTCACAAAGAAGGAAAACAGCAAGTCAGCCTTTTAAAATATGCTCAATAAATATTACACACATTAAAGTTTTGTATTTCATGCCTCCATCTGTGGTGGGCCATCATGATAAGGGTGTGAATGCAAACTAGGATGTCAATTCCACTACAGAAGAGACTTGACGATCACTAAAATTAGGTGGGGAATAGTGTAATATATCAATATCAGTATCACTTCAGTCAGATGAGTTGTTACATATCGGTATTTTGGATATCGGCAAAAAATATTGGTTTTGTTGCACGCTATTTGCACACTTTAATTTGCTTTGACTTGTTTTCTTAATTTACTGTAAAGCTATATGAAAGGTGCTTTATAAATAAAGTTTTATTATCAGACCTGCAGGTGTGAATGCATTTAAACAAAGCTAGTACAATACTTCACTCAGAAAACTATAGTTTACTGACCTCTAAGACAAAACAAAGATGAGTCAAGTGAGCACAGCTGATGGGGTGGTACTTCCGGGTAGTTTCAAAATAAAATCTTCACTGACAAACAATTTGTTTTAGTGCCACAGAAATATTTATATATTTTCAATTATTATGATACAGGCGTTCAATCTATTTCTGCTTTGTTTCGGATTTGTGTCATATAGTAAGCTGCAGCTCCAAGGCAGCTGGTTTCTTGTGTGTACAGAAAAGCCAAACCAAACTCCATTTAGAAATCAGGCATTTTTATATTTTTTTGCATACTGTGTCGGAACAGCGTACTAAAAACATAAATCTGATATGTTTAAGGTATCTTTGGGATATTGTGATACATTCGGCAAATGTTTCATCCTTCTAACTTTATTTTAATGTAATAAAATATATGTTATTGTTGCTTTAACAGCCTGCACTAGTCAAGCTCTTCTCCGCTGTGTAATAAAATGTAAATGCGAGTGAACCAGTAAGTTAATTCTGTTTGTTTTTATTGAAATGTCTGTACGTGAACAGCGTTTTGAAACGATGTGTATTAAAGTGTTTAACCGTGTTCTTCAAGTAACGTTATGCTTCTTTTGAAGGCAATGCTAACACGTCGTTAAATTTAACGTTTTTTGAGTGGACATTGGTTTGAATTTTTGTGAACTCAGGGCTTATTTGCGGCATTAACTCAACGTTAAATTTAACGTCTTATGTGTGAATATTCGTTTGACTTGTTTGTAAACTGGTCGGTTGGTTGATGGGATTAACTCAACGCTAAATTCCACGTTTGTTTAAAGGGGTTTGGTTTGTCTATTCAGCGATTGGTTGTAGGGATTAGCTGTGGCTTTTAAACAGCTGTTTGCGAAGCTAACATCAGGTGACAGGGAGGATTTTGGGATATTTTACCAAACTGACAGCTAGCCACCTTCAGCCGTTTGGTCATATTTATGAAGGTTTCTATATTCTGGCTTCTAACCGTGACTCAGGTTGAGCCGGGAGAACGGAAGTTTAACAGTTAGCCTGCTAGCTAAACACAACAACATCGCTACAACCAGCTGAGGCTAACAAACAACCCGAGCTACCGGCTAACAGAGGCGATGATTAGTAAGGTGAGTGTTTTACCTGTTATGAGTGATTGCCTCGGGTCATCCAGATGTGGGCATGGCAGTGACAAACACTCACAGCAGCCTGTCAGGAGCTGTTCACTCTCCGTAGGTCCTCTGAGCCTCTGCTCCGGGTTGCCAGACTTCGGGGAGGAAACACGTAAAACAAGCTGCCAAATGAGGAGCGGAGCGTAACAAACACCGTTACTGAGCTCTGATTTTACCAGCAGTAGAGGAAGTATTCAGATACTTTACTTGAGTAAAAGTACTGAAAAAATACGTCGTTAAGTAAAAATATTCCCGTAAAACTTAGTCCCTTATACTTCAAATATTATTTGAAATATTAAGGGACTGTTCTCTACTAGTCAGGGGAGGGTTTTTTGTTTGTTTGTTTGTTTTTTTGAGCCTCCCCAAAGCTGCAGATATTTTTCCTTGAGCTTCCCTTAGTGATTGGTGGAAAATGCGTGACCCTCCCTCCACCATAATTAGTTTTATATGTGTGAATGTTGAAAGATAAAAGTTTAAGATGAAATTCTAGAGATTAAAAAACATAAAACATTCCCATCTTGTCATTAGATAGTTTGTGCAAACACTTTCTTTGTGGCCAAATTTAAATGAGACGTAGAATAATGTGATTTTGGTGATATATCACGATTTTAAGCTCAGATTTTTTTCTGACTGAAGCATTCACTGCACACGATGTGTCCCAGAAATGTGAAAATCCAACGATAATTTCTGTTTTTATAGTTTCTGGCTATGATAAATGGTTTAATTGTGGCGATTTTGAAAAGACACATTATCTTTAAAAAAAAATCAGCAATAAAATAAATAAAAATACAATTTAAACTTGTGTGCCTCTCCCCTATGTCAAATAAAAAACACAAGTCCCTCCCCAGTACTTTAAAAACCACCTCCTACCCCTCACAAGTAATGAACAGTCCCTATGGAGGCCATGAAAGTTCCTCAGTTGATTACTGACAGTAAGACAGTCATTTTTTACATTACAACTTTTCTGAAATTCTATGTTGAGATTTGCAAATGAGACACCATATAATTAACTATGCACT